TGTCAAACTTTAATCTTCCCCGAACACGTTAGCTGTACCAGAGTTATGATTGGTGGCAGCCATGTAGATTTCTACAATAAGCATGATAAGATAACATTCACAATATACTTGTCGTGGTACATATTTTAATGTCCAATTTTCAGTTAATTTGCACCATTCTGAGAGAAACAGAGAGAGAGAGAAACAGAGAGAGAGTGACAGAGAGAGAGACACAGACACAGAAGGGAGGGGAAGAGATGGAGAAAGATGGCAGAGAGAGAGAGAGAGAAAGAAAGAACGATATAATTAAAACGAACATATTTAAATCTAATGAAATCTAGTCAAAGACTGAAAGATAGAGAGAGAAAAAAAGGAAAGTAGATGGTGAGAGATAGAGAGAATAAAAAGAAGAACATACTCAATATAATTATAATCAAAGAAACATTTTTCTTCCAATTTTCGTATAAAACATATATTAAAATATAATGACTTGGAGAAAAATATTGTACAAAGGAACAGAAGGATGGGATAGAGAAAGAAAAACAAAGGGAGGGGAAAGTTAAAAGGGGAAAACAAGTCAAAGTGCTCTTTTAATAAATGACATAATGTCTTACCTGATAGTCTTCAGATGTTTGAGGTTGTAAGTTGATCTGAAAGCTTGTAAGATTGGTTCCACCTTCTTGTTGCCAATGTCAAGATTGAGGAAGGTCACCTTGACAAGCTGAGGGGAGATATTCAAGAGGGCATTGGGTAGTGAAGTGGGCTCCTCGTGGAAACCAGCCGGTCGAAGTGCATACCCAGGTGTTTGAATGGTGAGTTCTGTTGCTCCTGGTAGATGGATCCTCTGGATGACGTCATAGTTGATCGCGCTCCGTACCTGAATAGTGACCCTCTTCACATTGTCAAACATCGAACCACAATCCTGCCATCCTTCTAGTGTGCGATCACCCACTGTCAGCTCAGTCAGGGTGGGGCTCGTGTTAACACTCTGGTCATCCTCCAGTACAGACTAATGCAATTGGGTGAATAGCAAGCTTGAGAATGAGGTATGCTTGCCGGTAGACGCACATTATTTTATTCATTTTGAAAATGGATTAAGCTCGTCTCAAAGTATTTGATATGGAGTATAAACAATGATTACAAAAAGATTGATTGGAAATGAAAGGTCTGTTTGAAAAAGAAAAAGAAATGAAAAGAATATAATTAAAATAATAAAAAAGATGAATGAAGACATAAACACAAATTTTATGCCTATTCATTGACTACCAGTAGAGTATTTGTTTTCGAAACACTCGAACTCGAGTGCTTGGAAAAGGGGCGACATTGCTCTCCTTACGGGCCTGAATTTGGTGACGTCATAACGTGTGTGCAGGATTTTCATTACATGTGTTTGCATGTAGAAAAGTTGATTCGCCAACAATCCTTTCGTTGTTGTCAAAGTTAAGAATTCCTATTTTTTATGATTTGCACATAAAAATATGATTGAAAGTTTTTCATGCTAAAGTGGGCGAGACCTGCAGCTCTAGACCAAATTTTCTGTCTCTCGTTTGTTAGCCTCTTTTTTGGGTATGAGAGACAGAACTGTTCCACACATTCTGAATGCAGACACAGCTGATTAGCAGCGCCAAATAAGCTGCGGAGTTGATGAATATAACACGTTATGTCGTCATCACAATAGTAGCTCTTTCGAGTTGCGTTGCACGTTTTTGGGAGGGGGCGGCTCAGTAAAGTTTCGATCCTCCTTGTTATTACTACTGAAAGTGAGATTGAGTTTTATTCATGTGTATTTATATTCTACGTCCCCTCAGCTTTCCACTGATGTATGGTTGTTTTGGCTTCGGACAGGGTCTTTAATCTGTTATGATAGAAACATTTTGTTGGATATACAATAATTGATTACATTACACTACTTAAAAATATTTTTGAATATTACATCATGATACAGTTGCCATCCTCATTCATTTCTAAAAGCACATCGTTATTCTGACGTTTGATCTAAAAAAGTTCTGTGAAAATCGAATTTTACGTAACAGAAAAGTGGGAAAACCAATGTCCAGGGAACACTTTGCAGTTTCCAGAGGGTTATATAATAATACAAACAGGGAAGAAGAGAATCGACTTTTAATTTGTGTAGGTTTTTTATTCAAACTATTAATCCCATCGTTATTCACAATTGAAATTGCTGTTTCCCCGTCAGAAATTCCGTAGCACTCCAAATTGTCATATGAAATTAAATTATGGTATGAATATTTACTTGTATTCAATTCAATTGTATAATATTCAGTCTGGTTTGGTTTTATGCTGTTTTGGCTTCAAAAGGGTCCCAATTGGCCGAAAATGATGGGGTTCAAATTGTCAGACCCCTCCTTCATTTCCTGGGGGGTCCATATTGGGCGCCAAAATGGCTTATATAACGCGCAATAGGGAAATTTTGTGTCTTCGGGAAAATTTGAACCCCATCAATTTATGATAGCTTGGACCCCAATGAATAAAAAAAAAAAAATCAACTTTGGCACAAAAATCCTACGGGAGCTGTTTCAGTGACTATGCGGTGGTCACATCCCGCCGTACTTGCAAGTGCGTGCTGTCTACGTGCAAAAACGTAGGCAAAATGTGGGTATCCGTACGTGATGATTACCGCCTCCGTACGGATTTGGGAGCACGCAGACACACCGTAGCACTTTTAATGCACAAGGAATTTTCGCTGCGTTCGGGCTGCGTTCGGGCTACCGATTCACCCCAGTGCGTGTGACGTGCGTGCCCGGTAGCGACTTTGCGTTTTACACCCTGGCCTGGACCTTTTCCCAATAAATTTCAAGGAACCGACTGGGAAAAGTCTATCCATGACAAGATATTGCGCGCGCACGTAGCTCTTCTGCAATGCTCAACGTACGTCCTATATGTCCAGTGTCGCGGTACGCGGTACATGTACTTTTGTATCGAGACGTACGAGTGAGAGAAAAACAACGAATAACAACAGAAGGAAATAGAGAAAAACAATAAATAATTAAAGAACAGAGAGGAAACAAAGAATGTCATAAGCAGAGAGAGAAAACAAAAACTAACTTGAAAGAAAGAGAGAAATTAGAGAAGGAATTAATCAAAGTAAGGAAAGAGAGAAACCAAATAATATTATGGTTTTTGTGGTTTAATTCCGCCTTCTTCAGGGTTTCAATTTTTGACGTGTAGCCTACTTTCAAACCATTTGCTGATTCGGACCCCCCCCCCCTAACACACGTGTACACATATCGACACATACACAGACTACACTCGACATAATATGTGTAATGGTAATGTAATACATAAACTGTGATTTAAATATTGCACTCGTACCATTTTCTATTATTGTGGGATCACGTCTTTCATTTTTTAAATTCATGTCATTTGTTTCTAAGACCTAATTTCTCTAATTCTCTTGACCCCTCTCCCTTCATATTTGTTTTCTAAGACCTCCCCCCCCCCTCATCTCTCTTCATATTTGTTTTCTAAGACCCATTTCTCCCCCGCCCCCCCCCCCCCCCATCTCTATTCATATTTGTTTTCTAAGACCTCTCTCTCTCTCGACCCACTCTCTCTCTCGTATGTATTTCTCAGACCCCTCTTTCTTTCTCTCTCATTAACCCCCTCTTCATATTTGTTTCTAAGGCCTCTCTCTCTCTCTTCATATTTGTTTCTAAGACCCCCCCCCCCTCTCTTTCTCATTTCTTGATATTTGTTTCTAAGACCTCTCTCTCTCTAGCTCTCAATTCATGATATTTGTTTCTAAGACCCCCTCTCTTTCTCACTTCTTGAATTCATATTTGTTTCTAAGACCTCTGTCTCTCTCTCTCCCTTTCTCTCTTTCTCATTTTAAATTCATGATATTTATTTATAAGACCTCTCTTTCTCTCTTTTTCCATTCATCACTTTGTCTAGTGTAATGTACAGACACATAACATATAAAGGAAATTATACACCAGTTTTACATGAATTCATTTGCACTTTATTTACTGCTTTACATTCATATACTTTTTTTTTTCGTGAAGGTAATCTAATCCTTCAATGTCGGAGAAGTAATACAAAAGATACAGGAGTATGTGTATGCATAAATAGTTATATAAAGAAGAAATATGTAGTAAAAGTGAAAGCAAACAATAGTAGAAATTTGAACAGATAATTTGACAGTGTGTTAAGATTTAGATGCAAGAAATGACTATAAGAAATTTTTATTTACATTGTTACTTATGCTTAGCTAGTCCAATTGACATTGCTGTTGTTAATGTTGACTGACAGACAGTACTGACAGTGACAGTGACAATGTGACACTGTGCAGCGACTCACTTAGTCTTACTCTTAGTTTTGCTAACTATGGATGCCTAACAGTTACAGTTAATCGTACTCATATAACTACAATTCAAAACTGGATTTGCAGTATTCATACCCGCAAAGGCGTCTGCATTGCCACTCCGTCATCATCCTCGATGAATTCCATCGTGCAGCAAGCTTCTTAACTTGTTGTTCTGAACTTGAAATCCTATATCTTCTCCCTTAATCTTCAGTATTGCAGCTGCGTACGGTGTGTATAAATGCTGCATCGACGTACGTCTGTGCATGTACGATTCGATTTGGAACTGGCGCGTCCGATCGAGGAGCGTAGACTAGACTCATTCAAGCAGTTTCATTGCTATTTACCGGGAAAATGTCCAGGCCAGGGTGTAAAACGCAAAGTCGCTGCCCGGTACTGCCAACGAGCGCACAACGCACTGACTCCGTGCGTCTTTTAAAGGCGCACGTGATAAGTGCGTGGTCCGCGCTTACTCGCCACTTCCCCAGTTCAGCTATCCAATGAGCACGCAGAACTCATGTGGACCGTACCGAGTAAGCACTTACAACGCACGTTGTTCACACTGATTTATGCAGTATATAGTCTCTTCGGTGGAATGGGCGGCATCTTGAGGCAGCAACAGCTGGGACTGCTGGAGAACATCGGAATGTCGTCCTATATAAACACCGAGTTCATCGCACGTGCACGCACTTACAACATGCGAGTGAGTAAGGACACCGTGCGTGAGCAGCACTTGTAAGTACGGCCTCCGCACGATAACGTGGCGACCGCACGGAGACCGTACGTTGTAAGCACGTTGTAAGCACGTACAACGCACTTACCACATGCGCAACCTACGATGCACGCAACCGTTCACGGCCAGGCGTGGCGTGCGGGCCACGTACTTACAAAGTGCGTGTGACGCGCGTTGCCGGTACTCCCTCCCTGCCTTTGCCGCTCCCTCCCTACGTTTTCAGAAAAATGTGGCGGCCGTGGCCTCCCCAAAAACCGTATGGACTAAAAACACGCACGGTGGGATGTGACCAACGCTATACCGTACCACACTATACACGCAAAAAACTGAGGTGCTAAATGTTGGGTGCTGAGTGAGATTCTGCACTTGAAGTGCCAAAATCAGCACTTGACGGGTTAACTTTAACAAGGAAACCGAAACGTGCTGAATATTTGAGTGCAGAAAACGAGTGCTATAACAATATGCAGCACTTAACATCGAGTGCTGACTGCATAACCTGATCTGATTGGTCGGTTAGTATAATAGCTGTTACCTTGTGAATATTTGTTTTTGAATCAAATTCAGCTAAGAGATTCTTACATTCTTCATTCTCCAGGTCAATACCCAAGGCCTCAAAAGTCTGAATAACTTTGCTCCTTAAACTGTCAACAACATCAGTATTCAAAGCTGTTGCAGCAGATAACACTCTGTTTGTCATAGCATGCACTATGAACATGACTGACAAAGAAAGCGGACAAAATATACAGTTCCTCGGGTAGACAAAAGAACATCCCTTCACTGCCATTATGTAAAAATGTGTAGAACAGGTGAATATGCATGTGACACCTGTTCTACACATTTTTACATAATAGCAGTGAAGGGATGTTCCTTTGTCTACCTGAGGAACTGTATATTTTGTCCGCTTTCTTTGTCCGTCATGTTCATAGTGATGGGTCATGTTGGTGTTTGATAAAAGAGAACCAATGAAAAATGCAGCTGGTCTCACTATGAACATGACAGACAATGAAAGCGGACAAAATATACAGTTCCTCAGGTAGACAAAGGAACATCCCTTGACTGCTATTATGTAAAATGTGTAGAACAGGTGAATATGCATGTGACACCTGTTCTAAACATTTTTACATAATAGCAGTGAAGGGATGTTCCTTTGTCTACCTAAGGAACTGTATATTTTGTCCGCTTTCATTGTCTGTCATATTCATAGTGTCTTGTACTGTCATTATGCATTGCTCCATCTTGTTCTTGTAGTAGGCCTATCCTATCATCATCATCATCAAATGCATCATCTGCTGCAGGATTATGCACTTCACTAACAGCAACACCCAAATCAGCATCAACTAGACCCTCCATACCCTGTACAACTTCAGGTTCAGGTTCTTCTTGTGGATGTTGGTTTAATAAATGTTTCCTGTAAGAGTTGAAAGTGGTAAATGACGAAGGACATCCACCTTGACCACATACCAAATGTAGATGGGGCATGTCAAACAACGCATGAGTTAGCACTTGCACAAGGGCTATTCTGCTAGCACCCAAAGGAGAGCAAAACTTGGCACTTTAAGTGCACAACAGTCAGCTCCTTTGGGTGCTAGCAAAGTAGCCCGGGTGCAAGTGCTAACTCAGCACTTCGAGTGCAGTCACTATGCGAGCTCCTAAAAAGTGCTAAAATTGAATCTTTAAGTGCTAAATTTAGCACAACAGTCAGCTCCTTTGGGTGCTAGCAAAGTAGCCCGGGTGCAAGTGCTAACTCAGCACTTCGAGTGCAGTCACTATGCGAGCTCCTAAAAAGTGCTAAAATTGAATCTTTAAGTGCTAAATTTAGCACTTTTTTTTTTTTGAGTGTAGCGAACAAGCGAATGTTCATCCTTTTCATATAATAACTGAAAACCATGTGCACTTTTTGGGCGGAGCTGTCGGAGGAGCAATCGGCGGAGCAATTGTCGGCGGAGCAATTGTCGGCGGAGCAAATGTCGGTGGAGCAATTGTCGGCGGAGCAAATGTCGGTGGAGTTATTGTCGGCGGAGCAATTGTCGGCGGAGCAAATATCGGCGGAGCAAATGTCATCGGAGCAAATGTCGGCGGAGCAATTGTCGGCGGAGCAACTGTCGGCGGAGCATTTGACGTCGGAGCAATTGTCACTTTTTGCGGAGCATTTGTCGGCGGAGCAATCGTCGGCGGAGCATGTGTCATGGATTCCCCGTAATAGGTACTTGTCGGGTAGGTGCTATGTTGGTGAGATTAAGAAAACTAAAGCCAAGCATAATGCCACAGTCACACCTTTTCGTATTTGGCTTGCGTATTGCTGCGTATCTATGGCAAGCAGTTTTAACATTTATTCCTATTTCTTGATATCAAAAAATGAATTCTTGATATCAGGAAATCGAATTCTTGATATCAGGAAATCGAATTCTTGATATCAAGAATTACCATTCCCTTACAGTAGAAAATTATTTTCTTGATATCAAGAATTAGGAACAAATGTTATAACGGTTTGCCATAAATACGCAGCAATACGCAAGCCAAGTACGCAAAGGTGTGACTGGGGCATAAGGTTAGTTGATTCCATGAGGGTTGGTTTATGAGGGTTAAAGTGATGATTTACATAGTTCTTTAAATTGACAACAATATCATTTTCTTTTACTTCTAATAGTAATCTCTGAAATCAAAACACAAGCGCAAAAAAACGTTGACGAAAGGTTAAAACAACGGCCAACTTTGATCGAAAAACAATGTCAACCACACTTCTTTTGAAATTCTCCTCTTCAGAATCTATTTCACAAGGAAATGTTTTTCACCCACGCTCCACATATCTCTACCATTGATCGTTTGAATTTACTTTTATTGATACACTTAGCTGTGTAAACAACGTAACAATATGATTTCTTTCAGGTTCAGCCTACTAACGAACACACACAAAAAGACGAATACAGCTTCATATCATGGACAAATGGTACGTGAGGGTGTGGGTATATGTGTGCGGCTGTGTGATTGCAGGTTTGTACATGTAGGCGCTTTTAATTGGGTTTTACAGACGTGTACCAATTAAACATGATCAATTGTGTCTCGGGACCGAACTCTTTGACAATAACCGCACAAGAAGTCTTAATACTCATGTTTATGAAACTGGTCATACCAAGGAGTTATTTAATATGGGTTTAGCATTAAAAAAAACCTTGGTTATATGAAGGAATATTCCCCTTTAAAATGTTTTTTAGGTAGCCTCACCAACCTAAAGACTCTTTATAGATCAGTAAATCATAGAGAACCATATGAGAAACCCATCAAATGAAAAGCTTATACCAAAAGTTTAACTATGCGGCGGGGTGGGGTGTGGTGGTTGCAGCTCCCCCTCCCCTCCCTAAAATTTGAAATATACCTATTAACATTATCAATATGTGTGCAACCGTCACGTTTACACTGTATATTCAGGCAGCGAGATTGATGCGTGAGTTTGCAAGTCTGTATATAATACATCATCTGTTTTTCACAGATGACTAAATAAAATTCTTACGACATTAAAGTGTTTTTTTCCCAGCTCGATCGCAAAGTTCATAACTTATACCCCATTCACAGTGGCCTCAAACACCGCGACAGCAGCGGGACTGTCCCGCTGCTGTCGCGGTGTTGTCTTCAGTGTGAAGGCTCGGACCCGTTATAAACTATCGCGGCATAACACCGCCTCGCGATAACGCCGCGACAAACTATCGCTAGGTTCGCCTAGCTACAGCAGCGGGACAGTCCCGCTGCTGTCGCGGTGTTTACTCAGTGTGAAGGCTCTCCGCTATAACACCGCGACAAACACGTGTGATTTGTTTACTTACCTATCACTGACCTCTTTTCTCCAGCAATGGGGAACATAAAGTGAAATAGAAATAAAGTAACCAGTGGATTCAAATTGATTTTATTATTATGTAGATATTATAATTATCCAAATAAAAATATTTCACACTTCAAAAAATTAAAATATTCTGACTGGAAGCAATAAAAATGCTAGTTTTTTTAAAAAGTAATATGATAAAACCCCGCGCTGAAGTATTTCCGGTCATATCGGGGTCACTCGCGGGTCATGAGCCATGCATACACGTGTTTGTTACGGAGGTAATAAAAATCACCCGCTGCAGCGTGAATGGGTACATGATATTTATCCCGCTGCTGCAGCGGGATAACTTTTCTACTGTGAATGCATTTGTAGCGGTGTTATGGCGGTGTCGCCGCTCCGCTACAACGCCGCTACAAATTTCAAAACCACTGTGAATGGGGTATAAGAACATTAATTGTGATATTCAGGCAAAATGTGTTAACCCCCTTGCGAAAAATGTGCTTGTAAACCTGTTTGATTCTGGGAAGTTCTAAACAATCTTATCCGGTATAAAAAATTACCTAGTTCGCAGGCTCAAACCATTGTCGCTGTGCGTAACAGTGTTTGCAACATGAGACTAAAATAGGCACTGACACTATTGACTCTGCTCAAGGCTTTAGGAACTGTGGTAGAGTATCTGTGCTTGTAGACTTTATGGGGCTTTCATCGAAAGGGTGCGGTGCGGCGCGGCGCGGTGTGGTGTGCTCAACGCACCCATTCGATAAAAGGCCCCCCGCTTTTCTCGAAAGGGTGCGTTGAGAGCGGAGCACCGTTTTAACACACCCTTTCGATAAAAGCGGGGGGTCTTTTCTCGAAAGGGTGCGTCGACTAGTCTTTCGCATCAGTCGTTTAAAATGAGGATCTAGGACAGAAGGTAATAGTTGCCAATTTAAGTATATCGAAAATGTATTAAATAAAATGGAATGGTCTTGATTACAGAGTGTTCTCTTTCGTTATTACAGAGAGAAGGAAAAAGGGGAAAGGGAAAGGGAAGATAAAAGGAAAGAAAGAAAAAGAAGAAGAAAAGAGGGAAACGGGGGGGGGCGAAGGGCTCTTGGCTCCTCCTCACCCCCTCCCCCCCCCCCCCCGCCAAAAAATTAATGAGAGAGAGAGAGAAGGGAAAGGGAAAGAAAATATAAAAGGAAA